GGTTTGGAAAACAGAGCCACCTCACCGGGGGATTCCTAGGGCCGAGGAAGGCCTCCCCCTGGCCAGGGGTCCCCCCTCCTCCGCCCTCCCCTCCCCTGCCCCGAGCCCAGAAGGAAGAAGCGCTTCCCGCTCAGGCCAGAGAGTCCCTCTGCAATGGGCCCAAAGGGAGACCCTCCTCCCGCCCTCCTGCGCTGGCCAGGTGAGGAGGCTGGGGTCTCTGCCCTGCCCCCTCCCCTTCCCTGGCTGGCCTCTCCCTCCCCCGCAAGGCAGCTCGGCCCCTGCTTGGCCCAGGAGGTCCCATTGGGAGCCGACGGGGGGGGGGGGAAGGTCTGGAGGCCCCTCAGGGCCCCTCAACTGTGTCCCCTGTTCCCAGAGCGGAGCCCCTGGCCGAGGGAAGGAGACCCCCCGGAGGAGCAGAGCTGGGTCTCGGAGGGAGGCCAGGATGGCTGCCCAGGGCCCTCACGGGAGCCCCAAGACCACTGAAACGGTCCCGGTCTCATCCCAGGCCTGACGGGCCGCCCTGCAAGGAGGCTGCTTCGGAGGCCCCCGGAATTGCAAGCCACCTTCCCAGCACGCAGGAAGTCCGAATGACAGTTTGGGCTGCAGTGCGGCTGTGTTCCCACGAGGCTCGGTTCCTTTAAAACATGGGTATGTTTTGCAGCACGATCTAAGGCGCCAGGTCAGACAGAGGTCCGTTCATTTACCCATCCATCCCGCTGGCCAAAGCCCAATGGTTTGGGGGTGCTGAGACTGGCTGCCCCTTCCCAGCCCAGCCAGCCGTCCGAGCGAGCCCTGCCACGGATGCCACTTGGCTGGGTTCTGTTTTGAAAGCAGGAATGAGCTTAAATCAGCAACTAGGTGGGCGAAGAAGCCTCCAGTGCCAAGCGCAGTCTACCTGCATGCTGCATCAGGAGAGGGCGCAAGATCCACACCTCCACGGGCTCAATGGCCCTGCTGCGTGGGCGAAGACCCTGGGAGCGCCCCAGAGCCCCTTCCCCAATTACCCCGCTCCCCTGGCAAGCGGGACGAGGGGATTCTCCCCAAGACGTGGGCAGGCTAGCCCCCCCCCCAACCCTTTGCCCTGGGGACAAGGCAGACGGGCAGCCCAGAGCCCACAGCAAATCCCACCCAGGAGGGCCTGGAGCTGCTGAGGCCTTCCGGAGAGGAGGAGCCCAGCAAGGGTTCAATCCTCCCCACCCTGGCCAAGAGCGGACCCTCCTCCGGCCTGGACTGGGCTGACCTCGGCAGGAGGCTCCGAAGTGCTGCCGGCAAGCCAGCCGAGCGGTTCCTCTTCTCCGCCTCCGCCGCTTCCCCGCCCCCGGCCGTCCCGGAGGAAGCGCCGAGCCAGCCCCGGTTCTGCATCCAACAGGTGAAGTCAGCGCAGGGCCCCCTCCAGACTGCAGCCCCCGGGCGAGGGGGGGTGGGGGGTGGGCAGGCGCTCCCCCCGCCCCAGGAGGGACGCTCAGGTAGGCGTGAAGCGGGGCGGGGAGGGAGGGGCCTGTCGGGACGACCATCCCGGACAATATAAAACGCCGGCGCGCCTGTCCGGCTGCCGTCGCCCAGGAGCCGCCCGCCGCTGTCTGTGTGCGGGGAACGCGGAGGGGCCCATCTCGCTCGCTCGCTCGCTCGGGAGAAGCCGCCGCGGAAGCCCCGGGAATCCCCCGCCGGGCCCCCAGGCGCGAGCGCGGGGAGGCGATGCGAGCGCGGCGCTGAGCCCGTCCCCCGCCGCCCGCCGCCCGCCGCGCCATGTCCTTCGCCCTGCTCCGCTCGGCGCCCAGCCGCTTCCTCTACCCGGAGATCAGCATGCTCTCGGAGGAGGACGAGGAGGAGGAGGAGGAGGAGAACGGCAGCGGCGAGAGCTCCGGCTCGGACGAGAAGCCCTACGCGCTGGAGGCGGGCGCCTACGGGCTCCGGGGCGGGAAGCGCCGGCCGGGCAAGAAGGGCGGCCGCGGCCCCGTGGCCCGGGAGCCCCGGCAGCGCCACACGGCCAACGCGCGGGAGCGCGACCGCACCAACAGCGTCAACACCGCCTTCAGCGCCCTCCGGACGCTCATCCCCACCGAGCCGGCCGACCGGAAGCTCTCCAAGATCGAGACGCTGCGCCTGGCCTCCAGCTACATCGCGCACCTGGGCAACGTGCTCCTGGCCGGCGAGGGCTGCGGGGACGGGCAGCCCTGCCACGCCGGCCCGGCCTTCTTCCACCCCGGCGGCGGCGGCGGAGGCGGCAAAGGCGGCGGCAGTCCGGCCGGCCCGGAGAGCGAAGCCTCCCAGCCCAAGCAGATCTGCACCTTCTGCCTCAGCAACCAGAGGAAGCTGGTGAGTGGCGGCGGGGGGGGGGGGGGGGGGGGGGGCGGGGGGGGGGGGGGGGGGGGGGGGGTCCTTGGCGGCAGGCTGGCTCCCTCCAGGGCTCCACGCTGCCCACGCCCAGCCACGCATAGCTAGGAGGCTCTGCACCCGATGTCCACTGAACAAGTGGGGTGAAAGCCCCCCAGATCAAAGCCGATCGCGCAGGGCAACCCAGAGACGAGGAAGGCGGGAGAGGTGAGCAGCCCCCAGATTCTGGCACGGCACTGCCAACCTCTCCTTCGCCAAGGGCCGTTCCCAAGTACTTTAAAGGGCTGGCTCCAGCCTGGCATTATGAACCCACAAGAGAGCTGGGATCCGGGTACTCCGAGGAGCCAACGC